CTTGAACTAGCAACGGCAGCTCCTTGGGCTTTTTCAGCCTTCCTCCGACGTCTCGCCGCTAACCCACGCCGTGCGCCTCCGCCGCCACGGCGAGGAAAAAGAGTCCCACCCCCACCCCCACCCCACCAACCCTCTGCGCCGAGCTCTCCGCCCCGCCCCCGGATCGGGCGGGGCCGGGGCCTGGAGCCAGAGGATGGAGTTAATCCTACGGTTCAGTTGAGCCAAAAATGATTGACCATTTACTATGTATCGAGTTCCTGCCCGCAAGAAGTGAACAGTCTGTTAGAATCAGACTCAGAGGCCAATCAATCATGTCCTACCGTGTGCTAGGCGCCGACATAGAAGTACACTTACTACACCCAGGAGGGGCGGAAAGAAGGAATGGAGGAGGATTGTGCAGCTGGAACACGAGGATAGTAAGGATGTGAGGAAACAGTCCTAATGATGACATTTTGGGGCACTTGCAGAGCCTGGGCAGTGTTCTAAGTGCTTTGCGTGAGTAATCACTTAATCTACACAACCTTTTGATTTAGGTCATCTTATTTCCATTTTACAAATAGACAAAGTGAGACACAAGTAAATTGAGCCATCTGCCCAAATTCACACAGCTAGTTAGTGTGGGGGTGGGGGTGTGTATCCGGAGGTGGGGGTGTTTCCAGGAAGAGCCATCCTCAAGCAGTATGACAAGGTTGGACTTGACAGGAGCAAAAAACTCTTAAAATAACCCAAAAGAGTCATGATGGGGCCTAGATCTAGGCAGTGGTGCTATTGATTAGGAGGAGGGGAGGAAATAAAATGAGGACATAAGGAGAGTGAGGGGCAATGAGGTGCTAAGACTGATTCATAGGGGCCAGCAGGTGGCTGGTGGTTAAGGTGCTCGACTCCCACATGGTTTGAGTCCTGGACCTGGTGGCTTGAATATCACACCAGGCATGTACGTGTGCCCAAAATCCCCAGAGGAGAATGGAGAAGGGCCGTGGTGTGGCCATCCCCCACCTCCACAGTGATTTCTCACTTTATCTCTCACTGATTCTGTCTCTCTCTCTGGCAAGTAAGTGCGTGCATCCTATAGCAAAAACCTTAAAAAAAAAAAAAAAAAAAAAAAAGATTCATGGCCTGGCGGCATTGCTGAGACATTCACCAGGTCACATCCACAAGAAGTCACCTAGGGGAGAAGCCACAGGCCAAGGGTATAAACTTGAACAGGAGAGATACAAACCAGAGATATCACCCTGGGAATCGTCGGCATATGGGTGACAGCAATTATTTACCTAAGGCCACTCTCTGTAAGCACTGCATTTTTTAAAAAAATATTTTTTCAACTTTATTATTATTATTTCACCAGAGAGAGAGGGAAAGTGAAAAAGCAAGCCACCATGTCCAGGACTTGAACAGAGGTCAGCCATGTGGGAGTCCAGTGCCTTAACCACCATACCACCTGCTAGCCCCTTAAACACTGTACATTTGAGTTTAAGGCAGCTTCACAACTATCTCATTGGGTAGGTACTGCTATTACACCACTTTGTAGTACAGGCAATGCAGGCCTGAGGTGTTAAGTGACTTTACCAGGTATGAGCACTCTTGAGGCTTTTTTTTTTTTTTTTGGGGGGGGGGGATATATCCAGCCTCAAAAAAAGGGAGGAGGCAGTCCAAAAGAAACAACACTGCAGTGACCTCTCTCCTACCGGAAGCAGCCAAACCCATGGACCTCTGTAGTGGGGGCATCAGAGGTACCCAAGCCCTGCTGTCAGATCACTCAGAGGATGGAAGACTCTTATCAGTAAGGATTTTATCAATTAAAATATATAAGAGAAAAGGCTTCCTCTTCAAAAAAAAAAAAACTTACCAGGGGTACCCAAAGCTCACAAGATCCTTGGAGAGGATAGTTCTTAACTCTCTAGGGCCTTGGGACCTGCATAAGCCTTTTCCAGCTCCCCTTTGTAATTGAGGGGCAAGCAGAGGGGGCAGCTGGCACCCTTCCTAGTAAGGAAAGAAAATCATTATATAGGATCTGAGATCACTGCCAGTTATAGTAAACTGCTAATGGTAGAACCTAGGTAGTGGGTATACAAGAATTTGCTGCAAAATTATTTTAACTGCTGAAAATCTGAAAATTGTTCATAGCAACATGTTGGGGAGGAGAAGTAACATTATTGTCACTGGGGGGTGCTTTCTGTGCTTTTGAGGGTCTTGCTGGAGTTGATTTCCTGTCATGTGCTTTCTTGGGAGAGCACATAAGATTTTTTTTCACCCTTAGCTTTGGCATTCTCCAAGCCAGGTTATGGCTTGGAGAAAAATGCTAAGTATGTATACTGACAATTACTTATTTCAGGCCCACAGTTAGAACAAGACTAAAGAAAGCTTTCCCAATTCTCAGCTGTACCCCAGGACTCCCTCTCGCTCCCAACTCTCAAGGTCTCCCAGTCCCACTTCCTCCATTTCCGGTAATGTCCCTAAGTGATGGGCTTCCATTGCTCCCAGGTCGGGCAGCAGTTTGGCTGCCCGCGGACCCAGTGTGACGTTAAGGGAGGGGGCGGTTGCCCGGGTAGCCAGGGGAGTCCGTGGACCAAGAGGGCTCTCCGGGATCGCGACGACTCCCCCGCCCGCCGCAGGCGCTTCCCCTTGCC